TCGAGGGGCGCTAGCGCTCCGCTCCTCACTCCTCCTCGTTTCCTTCGACAGAGGCTCCCCTGCAGACCCTCCACATGGACGTGTGGGGCCCAGCCCGTGTTCGTGGCCTGGGCGGCGAGCAGCACTTTCTGCTGGTTGTCGACGACTATTAGCGGTACACCACGGTCTTCCCCTTGCGCACTAAGCGTGAGGTCGCTGCTGTCCTGATCCCTTGGATCCGAGCAGTTCGTCTGGCTAATGACACGCCTGGCTGGCAGTTACCACCCCACCTCGCGCGGTGTTTGTTATCTGAGGACGTCACATTTGACGAGACGGTTCTTTTCTACCGTCTCTTCCCCTACCGCACTGCCCCTCTCCCTCCCCCGCCGCTTTTCCTCGCTCTAGGTCCCCCTCCAGTAAATCCCCTCCCCCCTCAAGGTCCTGCTCCTTTAGGTGTGTCTCATGTATACCCACTCCCCTTGCTGAGCATGTAGAGGTCACTAGCGACTCAGGTGCTGCTGCGGGTGGTGCTGCTTGGGGTGCTTTGTTTGGGGGTGCTGAGCCTGTGTGTTAGGTGCTGGGGGGTGCAAAGCCTGGGGGTGCTGAGCCTGCGAGTGCGGGGCTTGGGGGTGCTGAGCCTACGAGTGCGGAGCCTAGGGGTGCTAAGCCAGAGGGTGCCGGGTCTGGGGGTGCTGAGTCTGCTGGCGTTTCTCCGGGTCTCTTTTCACGACAGGGGCCTCTCTCACCACAGCACCTACGAGAGTGGCTTGCATGGCGTGCCCGCCTGAGGAGTCGTGCTACTAGAGCTGGAGGTCTTGCCGCTGGAGGTACTGCTGCTCGAGGTGTTGCGGTTGGAGCTGCTAGAGCTGCTCGTCATGGAGACGCTGAGAGTGGTGGTGTTTTTGGTTCTGGAGGTGCTCCTCTTGGAGGTACTGGAGCTGCCAAGACTGGTGGTGATGCTGGAGCTGGAGGTCCCGACTCTGGGGGTGCTACTACTGGAGGCACTAGAGCTAGAGGCCCCGGAGCTGGTGCTGTCGACCCTGGAGTTGGAGACCCTGGAGCTAGAGGTGCCGGTTGCGGAGACAACTAATACAACAGAAGCTAGACTACGGGCTAGGCACGGGTGCTCGTGTGATCTCCGCGTTCGTTGTTCCTTAGTCGTTTTCCTAGTGCACACACTGCTTGCTAGTTTACGGGGCAATTGGGCAAGAGTTTCACTAAGAAAGGCTAACAACAATGGTACAATCAGGTTGGCAAGACAAAACAACATCAGAGCTAGCAATCGGGTAGGTCGACTGCCGGCGCAGCATGGTCGACTGCGTTCCAGCACGATTTGGTCGACCGCGCTCCAGCATTGCATAGTCAACGGCATGCCAACGTTGCAAGTTGACGGCGTGCCAGCGTTGCTCCCGAAGTACAGCATCGCACCAGCTTTCTCGGTGCTCGCTGATGATTAGCGCGCAGAGCCTTGTCACCTGCACAACGCACACACAAAGTCATCCTCGTGCTGAGGACTGCACCTGACCCGCCACGTCGATCTCGGGATACCACTACCGAGGTAGGTCTCGCCAACATCGCCTGGGCGACCGTCGCACTCCTCCGCAGAACCTTGTCACCCAGGTAACCTGGTGGACCGGGCAACCACGTCGACCAACTGCTCCTGTATGTGCCCATCAACCTCCCAAGTTGACGGCCACCTCCAGTTGACCTCACCAGGTCGACCACACCCCTGGTCGACCAGCTCCACGTCAACCTGCACAGTTTTCAGCCGAGCACCCAAGTCGGCTACCCAAATTCGGCGTCACCAAGTTGACGCCCTGCTACTCGACGCCCAGCTCTTCGGCATCCTGAATCCCTCTGTCAAGGTCGACGTCGGCCCCTCCTTCATCGACCACCATGTTCGGTCGACCTCCATGTCGACATCCCGCCTGGTCGACCAACCACCAGGTCGACCAGCAGTCCTGTCAGCCAACCACCCAAGTCGGGTGCCCCAAGTTGGCGTCACCAAGTCGACGCCCTCCGCAGGTCGACTTCCCAGGTCGATCTCCCTGAAGTCGGCGCCACCCTGAAGTGGGCGCCCATGTAGTAGCCTCCGTGCAGGTCGACCTCCTCGTCAACCAGCTCGCCCACTGCTGCAGGTCGGCTGCTCCCCTCACACCCGACCACAAAGGCGGCTCCGCCCATGCGAGGACGGGGCCAACACACAACTCTTGTTGACAATCCCCTGCCACGTTCACGCTTGGGCCCCCAGCCCACACGGAAGTACTCCTCGGAGAATAGCTCGTCGACGTGCACTCAATCAATACATAGCACGTCGTCCACCGTACCAGCCATGCAAGAGGGCATAGCACCTACTGCTACACGTCGTTGTCCCCTTCGCCCACTTTGGCCAAGCGCACCTGGCCAATTGCGACGGAGCACTGGTTCAAGGCTGGATAGTGTAGCGCCTTTATCAGGAAGTCGGGATGTACCTCAGCGAGAACTTCCCGCGCTTCACCATGTGCTGTAGCGAGGCCTGTCGCCGCTCCATATATTTGAGGTTGCGTGTCAACCCCATGCCCTCGACGACTGTGATGGCCGACTTGTTGTCCACCCGAAGGACAGTCGGCATCACGGCATCCAGTTGCCGGAACTCTGCGAGGAGGAAGCGAAGTCGACGTCCCTCCTTGCCGCCTTCGGTGGCCTCCATGTACTCCGACTCGGTCGACGGCAATGTCGCACACTTGATGCGCTGGCTCGTCCAGGAGATTACGGCCTCTCCGTAGACGAAGACGTAGCCGCCCGTGCTCGTCTTGTTCTGCTTGCCACCGGCGTCGTCGGCGCCCGTGATGCCCTTGCTCCGGTAGCCCGTGTGCTAGTTGCTCCAGAGGCACGTGTGTCAGCAGCTTCAGCCGCCGCCTCCTATCTCTCCTCTCATAGTCCCTACTCCTCTCACTTGCCCTCACCTCCTGATGCGCATGGTGTATCCCTTCAGGGGGCGCTAACTGCATATTTCTCTCCTATAGGCAGTTTTGGGGGCGCTAACTGCATATTTTCTATACGTAACAGCCTGCATAATTGATTACTATAGTTATAGCGTTACCCTGTTTGGTGATGCACCCTTCCTGTTTCTTCTTGCCTAATTGTACTGCTTGCTCAATATTGAACCCACCTTATCGCAAAACTCTTTCGACATTGTTCATCTCTCGCAAAACCCTGATGCATCATAAGTTACTAGTTAACTCCTATTTTGACATCTCACCCACTCTTTTTTCAATCAGTGATGACCACTCACCCGTCTGGTGCGCGTTGCAAATAGACGTCGCGAAGTCCTTTAATTCATTTCATTGTAGCGCGATGTTCGAGGGGCTAAGGGAGTCGCCATTCTCAGGGTTGATCCCATTTTTGCGCGTATTCTATGGGACACCTAGGGACCTATACCTTAGAGCGGGCCAGTTTGTCTCTATGTTTCCTTGAGCTTTTCACTAATGTGTCCTTGAAGATAAATCTGTAAGTTAGATTACAAATAACAAGGGTGTACAGTGTTATTAAAGGTCGAAACATGATACAGCTGGGAATAGTGTTGTGTGCCACAGTAACATGAAGTGTCTGGCGAGGAATTCTCAGGTGCTGGGTTTGCGCCGCAGGTGATGTACCACCTGCGTCGCGAATGGATTGAACAGAACAGAACAGCACTGCGGAGGGCGTGCTCCCCCTGCAAATATGTCCTTTTCCAAATGCGTCAAAAACGCTAATGTGGTTCTGAGTTTCAACTTTTAAGTACTTAGGTATTTAATTGTCAGGTTTGCGCATTCAGGTCTTAGATTGCTTAGTGACCGATAACACGACTGGATTGCAAAAGTGTTTAGACACCAGATCACGGTACACAGTCTCCCGTCCGTCGCGGTAACCCTTCCGTCAGATGCACTTCTGTGGCTAGACTGGAATTTTCGCCAGGCTGTTCGTCAGGAGCGGCGACAACGGAACGGAACAGAAGGTGGGACTAATGAGACGAGAGGTAAGGGCTGTCTTTATTTTTCTCTCGACGGTTCAGCCCGTGAACGGTCCGATCTGAAAAATGGTTACCGGTGTCGCCCGGTGTCGAGAAGAAAATCGGGAAAGTACTTGCGACGTCGTCAACGGTTCGAGCCGTCGCGTTTCCCGCTCCACAACGGCTCACATTTCGAACCGTCCGCAGCTCGAAAAGCAAACGGACGCTACAACAGTTCTGGCGCAGGTTCGTCGGGCGAACACAGAATTGTCGTAGGGGGGATGTGCGCATTTGGCGAGTAGGTGTGACTTCGGTTACGGGGATATAGTGTGATTGACGAGACACCAGTACGTCATTTTGTGAAGGTGAGAAAAGTGACGCATTTGGATTCGGATGGTCTGAAGTTTCGAAATTACCAAGAGGACTGTCCGGTACGCGCTATTAGGACCGTCTGAAACAAAATATGTGAGCCGTCCGAGAAAATCCCTAAAAAACAAAATGGAGACACGCCCTAAGCATATGGGACGGGACGGGAGGCACGCTATGACTTCAAACCTACTCCCTAGCGGCCCTGACGCTAACAGATTCAGTCCCAGAACGGAATTCACGGTCAAGAAGGACAACTGGCGTGCCTTTCCCCCCCAGTTCCCATGCAAATCTTGCCCCCCCTCTCCCATCAATGTAGGAGAGCACTGCGGGAAGACTACGCCGTTCCACTGCTTGCCATCCCCATTCCTAGCGTTTATCTTGGTCCCTCTCATTAAGGCCTCCTGCGGTTCCGCCGAGCGGATGGTGAGCTGAGGTCGAATACCGAAAACCTATCGTCAGTTTCTAGGTGCATTCTAGGTTATCCTAGAGGTCCATATCTGCCATTGTATTCGATTAGCAAGGCCTGGTAGGGAGACAAGAGTTTGGGCCGGCAAAATTAGTTTTGGCCGTGCGATCCCGCTCATAGCTTCGAAAACTCTTTCGCAGAAACGAACGGGAAGAGAAAGCAAGGAAAACCCAGACCTCGATCGTCCCCATTTCGAGTGCTTCCCCGTCACCTGTCATGTCGACATCCTACCGACTCCACGCCTCACCCACACTATTACTGCTCGCCCTGGTAGCTATTCTCACCTGCGGTCCGAGCCAGGTGTACGGTGACGTGCGCCCGGGATGCGTGAACAAGTACAAATGCCCGACGCGCGAGTCGCGGCAATGCGGAGTCTTCTACAACTGCATGCCAGGATCCACGGCCAGCATCGCCAAGGCATCTATCACCACATGCGGCAGCTGCTCCTTTAACGAGCCGTGAGTGACTAACGAGGCGGGTGTGAGTACACGGAGCGGTGAGTGTCTGCACCGAGTCGTAAGAGAGTAATGAGCCGCCTTTCGGGCGGCAGAATACGAGGTCGCCGAAGGGATAGGCACTTTTTAGACCCGTTTCGTGGATTTTTTTTTTTGGGATTTAGACCCGTTTCAATGTATTTGTTTCTGTCATCAATAATTTGACTGTTTAATGATGAGACCTATGTCTCTCTCAACAGCCATCGGGTCGGCTGCAGAGACTATCATAAATCCGGTTTTACATCCTTCTCCTTTCACCTTCTCCACCTTCCCCTATTTCCAGATACTCTTTCTTCTCCTTCTCTCACCTTCCCCTTTTCTTTCTCTCCCCCGCGTTCTGTTTCTCCTTCTCTCGTTTCCGTTCGGCGCGATGCAGCAAGAAGGCGTTCGCTTCGGTGTGCAACTACGAATATGGCCGATGCGTTGCCAACACCATTGTAAGCTCCGAACACCTGTATGCACCTTACGGATAGCAAGAATGCACCTTAGGTGCGTCGACGAAGGGTGCACGTAAGATGGTCATTTCATACGCCCCTCGGAAAGGATGGCTCGCGCAAAAGCACACGTTAACATATTTCTGTGAGCAACACTTTTTATCCTCGTTATTGAATTGACCGTCCTCGTCATTGAGTTGTCCAACTGCAGGATGGGAAAGTCTGCACAGCAGATACGCAGTGCACGGCTCCCGGCGTTACAGGCTTCACGTGCCTCCCAGTCAAGACGAACAAGACGCTGAAACGATGCTGCAGGTGAGCACTTCACATCAAAATGTTCATCTTCGATGTATGCGGTTGGGCGGAGAGAGGGGGTGGGTAAATCCGATTGTTGTAGCCAGCTACTCACATGAGCTCTCGTCCTCCTGCTTCTGTTGACTCATGTGCCTTTGCGGTTTCCCCTACCTGCAGGAAAAAATGTCCCCCCGGCATGTGCGGAGCTCGGCTGAAGCCACTCACGTACACGAATGCATGTGGAGAAAAGATCACATGCCCTGGAGTGTGCCCTACCACAACCACTTGAGTTGATTCCTCTTGCGACTTGGTGCTCTAAGCTAGAGTCATCGAGCCGTTGCTGCGCTTGGTAGCACTGGTTGGTTGTCCATTATGTTGTATTGTATTGTGTACAAGTAGTGTTCTGCTGCACAGCAAGGTTGGAGAGGTAGGTGCTTGGTTGGTTTGGCTTATTGTTGTAACGATTTGCTGTGTGGTCACCAGCCAGATTACATTTGTATTGCAGGCAACATTAAGTCCATTTTGTTGGGCTGAAAAAGCCCTTACGATCTTTGCAGGGGTGAACTCTGGGTAGAATTGGTGTAATAGTGGAAGCGTTAATAAAGAGTTGTGAACCACCTTGCGCTAGTATGTGAGGGCAAAGTAAGTTATTTAAACAAGGAGATACAAGATTATTTCAGAGTACAAGGAATATGAAAGGTTACGGTTATAACTGTTTTACTTGTTGCTGCAGCGGTTCGATACAGTGACGACTCGGGCAACTGCTCTGTAGCGAGTCAGTTGTGTGTCATTGCTGTCGCGCTGTACTTGTCAGGTCAAAGGTCGCTGACCTTTGACTTTCGCGTAACCTCCAGCAGTTACTTCAACCTCCGAGGGTTGACTCGCTGGTGCCTCGATATGCTTTGCTTCGCTTGTGCCTTCGTGTTTCGACACGACAGAGGCGCTTAGGACCAATTGTTTCCAACACTCCCCTTCGCTTATGGAGTGTCGCTGACGTGGCTCTGTCCAGTCAGCAGCATGCACTATTCGAACATCTGTTTTCAGAGCTTCTTGGTCAGGTAGTCAGCTGCCATCTTGGACGTGGGATAGTATGACAGCTCGAGCCTTCCCTTCTCGATCTCATCCTTCACGAAGAAATATCGCAGGGCGATGTGTTTCGTCCTGTTCGCGAAGCCGTTCTTGTTGGCCATGCGAATTGCCGACTGGTTGTCGCAGAACAGGGTAAAGTTGGGTAACTCGGCTAACTTCGCTTCTTCTAGCAGCTCGCGAAGATAGAGTCCTTCCTTGGTGGCTAAGCAGAGTGCAATATATTCTGCTTCAGCTGAAGAGAGAGCAATTAATTCCTGCTTGCTCGATTGCCAAGAGATAGGTCCGATAGGTTCGAGGCGGTAGATGTAGCCGGTGCGTGAGCGCCTATTGTCGGAGTCGCCAGCGTGATCAGCGTCGACGTAGCCGATTAACTTAGTCGGTGTGGTTGCGTTCTTGTAGTAAGTTAGGCCGATCGTTGGGGTGCTGACGAAGTAGTGAAGAGCGCGGTCGAGCTCCGCCAGATGTTCTACGTCAGGCTTCTTGAGGTAGGTGGCGAGTTGGCTTGCGGAGTATGAGAGGTTGGGGCGACAGGTGACGGCTGCGGAGAGAAGACATCCCAGCTTCTTCTGGTAGTCTCGTATGCCGGCGGGCTTAAGAAGAGCGGAGTTTCCTTTGTCGTTCCCTGCCGTATATCGGTATGGCGTGGAGATAGCTGTCGGTGTGAGCGTGAAGCGTTTGGCGATAGTGTCAGCATATTTCTCGGCGCTGAGGTAGATCGCGTCCTCCTCTTCCCGGATGTTGAGGCCGAGGTACTAAGTGACGGTAGATGAAACTGTGAGCGTGAGATCCCGTTGTTGCAGCTCCCCTTCGAACCAGGTAGTGATGCCGTCAGTTGAGCCGATGTAAAGGAGATCGTCCACGTAGACGATTAGTAGGATGTAGTCGTCGTTTTTTGTGAGCCGGTAAATGCCTTGATCGTGCGGTAGTTGCTTGAAGCCGATGCGGATGAGGCGAGCGTGCAGGTACTGTTGCCACAGTCGCGGGGCCTGCTTGATGCCGTAGAGTGACTTGAGTAGCTGGCAGACTTGGTTGGGTTCTCTGTGGGAGCCGTGCGGTAGCTCGACGAAGATTTCTGCATCAACAGGTGCGTAGAGAAACGCGTTCGCGACGTTGATTTGTCGCAGCTTCTTCTTCTTCATGGCGGCGATTGCGAGGAGAATGCGTAGTGAGGTGTGGCGGCTAACCGGAGCAAAGGTTTCGGTGAAGTCTCGTCCGTGTTCTTGGTCGAAGCCTTAAATTTGTCAATGGTGCCGTCGGCCTTTGTCTTCACACGGAAGACCCACTTCCCGGTGAGCACTATCTTGTTCCGAGCCACGCCGATAGGAACCACTTTCCACGTGTTGCGTTCCTCTAGTGCCTTCAGCTCATTGTCCATGGCTTCGCACCATTTTTCCTTATGTTCCCCCCCCAGAGCCTGTTGAACTGTCGCAGGCTCTTTAGGAGTGGTGGTGCCGTGGACTGCGGTGATCAGTCTGAGAATCTGCAGTCCACTCTATGAGTAGCGGGGAAGATTTACGTCCTCGGGATAAGCTGCTTCATCTCCCGCTTCTGGATCAGGTATGAAGTTCGGTCCTACTCGTTCTGCATCGTTGGTGTTGACTGTCGCAAGTGTTACGTAACCATTGTCGGTGAAATGGTAGAAGGTTTCGGCGTTGACACTTTCGTGAGGGTTATCTTCGTCCATGGGAACGTCGATGGAGCAAAACGGAAGAGGTCCGGCTTCTTCTGATGCGTTGTCCACATTTTGCTCGTCCTAGTCAGCTTCGTCCGCTGCTGAGGCGAAGGCTCAGTCACCACGAAAACCACCTGTGGGATCTTCGTCTTCTTGCAGGTTGGCAAGGTATGTCTGTGTGAAGATAGTAGAGAGAATCAGGAGCCATAGCTAGGAAAGCCCTAGCTAGGCAAGAATAGTTTAGGCAAAGAGGAGGTTCACTAGCAAGAAAGAGGATACAAATAGCAAACCCTAGATGGGTTGTACTCGCTATAGAGCACCCCACTACAGGCTAGAGAAAAACATTCTGACACACCCCCATAGCCAAAGTGGGGTGTAATCAGCACAATGAGAAAGTAGGTATAGAGCAGGACTTTACACAGATAAGCAAAGCTAGAGCTAATCACAGCGGACAAGTGAGGAGGAGGAGGAGCTGTGGGGGAGAGAAGATGGGAGGCGACTGCTGACGCTGCAGACACACAGACAAGCTGCTGGCTCAGTGGCTATAGGAACAGCGCTCCGGACTACTGGGGTAACTGGCCCCGCGGCTAAAAGTAGCGGCAGACGAGCAACGGACCCACGGGCGACTGGCGACTACCGGAGATTGTAGCCTCCGGACTGCTGCTGCTGCTGACGACAAGACTGCTGCCTCCACTCAACCTTCCCCAACTGCCCCACACTTCTCGACACACGCCCACTGCTCAAACCCTAGATTCACTCCCACGCACCCCCCTTAAACCCTAAACCCCAGTCTCCCACTCATCCACCCCCCTCAGCGACAATTGCAGCAGTGGGAGACGAAGGAGGAGGAGAAGAGGGGTACGGCGCGCACAGCGGACACCCCCACAACCACCACCCCCACACTCCTCACCCCCAAACCCAAAAATGGGTGGGACGGGGAGGGAGCGCGGGGGACGACGGGGAGAACAGCGCGCGGCCCCCAGGGCGCCACCACAGGGCAGCGAGAGGCCGTGCGCAGCTCCCCACGACGCCACGAAGGGGCAGCGGGAGGGCGGCGATGGGGCCGCAGCGGACGGCGACGGGGCCGCTGCCCGCGGAGACGGGGCCGCGGCGAGTGGGGACGGGGTCGCTGCGGAAGGCGACGGGGCCGCTGCGGCGGGGACGGGGCCGTGCGGGCGGCGACGGGGCCACTGCCCGCGGAGACGAGGCCGCGGCGGGTGGGGACGGGGTCGCTGCGGGCGGCGACAGGGCCGCGCGCGACACCCTAGACCGTCGTAACGGACAGGCGGGGGCCGCGCGCGGCTCCCCTGGGCGGCGCGACGGGGCAGCGGGCGGCGCGCCAGAAAAGAAAGGGGCCGCGCGCCCCGAGGCGAGCGCCAAAGTGCAAATCGGCGCGCGGCGAGATTGAAAATGCGTCGTACGCCACGGGGCGTGTGACAGAGCGTGTAGCAGTGGAAGCAGTAGTACCCACAGGCCGAGAGCGTAACCGCTCTGAAACCATGTGAAGATAGTAGAGAGAATCAGGAGCCATAGCTAGGAAAGCCCTAGCTAGGCAAGAATAGTTTAGGCAAAGAGGAGGTTCACTAGCAAGAAAGAGGATACAAATAGCAAACCCTAGATGGGTTGTACTCGCTATAGAGCACCCCACTACAGGCTAGAGAATAACATTATGACAGTCTGGAGCGTGAGTCGTTCGTAGAAAATTACATCACGTGCTGCTACTGCTTCCTTGGAGTGGACGTCGAAGATTTTCCACGCGTTGTAGTTCTTTTCGATTCCCAGGTGTAGTCCCCACTGTGCTCGTTGAGAAAATCGGCCCGCTCGTGCTGCTGGGGGTCGGTACTGTACCATGCATCCGAATACTCGTAACATTTTTGTGCTGCCCCGTTTCCCTGTCCATAGCAGATGCGGTGATGCGTTGTTCGGAAGCGATGATGACGACAGCAAGTTGTGCAGCATGACGGCGTGGTCCATTGCTGCAGGCCACTGGTGGTTGGGTAGCCGCATGCCACATAACAGTTTGCGCATGCTGTTCTGCAAGGTCCTGTTCATTCTTTCTGCTACACCTTGCTGCTGATGGGCGTAGGGAAGGGAGATGAGCTGCTTGATTCCCCTTTCCGCCAGGTACTGCTTGAATCGCTGAGAGGTGTATTCTCCTCCTCCGCCTGACTGGAAGCTTTTCAGTTGTACGCCCGATTCTCTCTCTGCTACTGGTAGCCACGCAACGAAGGCTGCGAATGCCATGTCGCGGCTAGGGAGGTTTAGGTGCCAGACGTAACGGGTGGCGGCGTCGATGAAGGTGATTGTGTAGTTGTATGTTACTTGTCTTGGTTCCCGATTGAACAGGATGTCGCTATACACCTTTTCGAGTGGTGCGTACGCGGGAGCGCTCGGGTTGTGATGAGACGCAAACGGTCGATGTGGTAAGTCACCTTCAGGGCAGGTGAGGCACGTTCCGCGTACTCGTTGAAGTTCTCGTCCGTCGGTCAGTAGGAGTGAGTCCTTGTCGAGTACTCCTGCTCTTATCC